TGAGTGAGTGAGTGAATGAGTGAGTGAATAAATGAATGAGTGAGTGAATGAATGAGTGAGTGAGTGAATGAATGAATGAATGAGTGAGTGAGTGAATGAGTGAGTGAACGAGTGAACAAGTGAGTGAGTGAAGTGGATTTTACACCAAGAGCTGACCTCCTTTTCTGGGAGCAGGAGATGCATCGCCACTAGACAGTGAAGAGCTCTAGGAATGACTCACTTTGGACACTGCCCCCTCACCCCGTGCTGGAAGCCCTTTGCTAGAAGGACTCTGACGAGCGCCCATGTGTGCATGCAGCTCAAAGTGCTCCGAGTGTGTGTGCTCAAAGAGGAGCCATCCCAAGAGGTTATAGCTAGACTCTGGGGTGCAGAGGGGTTATAGCTCTGAGGTCACACAACCTGAGAAAGACTGAACAGGAGCGGGGACCAGGGAGATGGAACACCCCAGAGCTACCCTCCACCAGCCTTGCACGCTGCTCTCCTGGCAGCCTCCCTCTCCCCACCATGCTGCCCTAGTTTCCAGCTGGCTGCCAGCATCTTCCCTCGTCCGGCTCCAGCCCTCCCAGGGGCTGGTTGACAGTATCTTCATGCCAGAAATCTTACCCTGGCCTCGAGGGCCCCCCACACACACAGCTCCCTGGCTGCAGTGGCACCTCACTTCAGGCAAAGCTTGGTGCCCAAGGTGAGTGGGGTCCCAAGACCCCCCCACAAAGTGAGGAATCTGCACTGCCATGTGGTGCCAGGCGGCCGCGTACTCCCTGAAACGGACATGGGGTCGTTGCAAGGACCGACTGCAGAACCTCTGTGAAGCTCTTGGTGCTGGCCAGCACTCAGCGGATGAAAGATCTACTGTCATCGGGTCCTCACTGGCGTAAGGAACCCCAGTGCCCCAAGCTGGGGGAAAGAATCCAGTCCACATAGGGGCCTGGAGCTATTCCAAGATCTGAACAGGGACAAGGGACCCTGAGGTTGGGTCTGCCCCAGGCAATCAGAACATCCATGATGGAGAGAAGTATGTGCTGGTTCTGGGGAGCTTGAGGGTTCACCTCACATCCCCAGTCCTTGAACTACCTCCCCTCCCACCTCTACTCTGTGTCCTCACTCCCACACCAGCCACATCCTCAAGAAGCAAGGCCTGCCCGGCCTCTGTCCTCTGCCAGATGCATGCCTCCCCCACTGGGGACACCCTGAGGCTTTAGGCAATGCAAAGCCAACACTGACCTCCCTCTGGACACACCCTGGAAGCGGACCCCAGCCCCCTTCACTCTAAGCCCAGACCTGAACTCTGCAGAGCCTGGCATATCTCCCTGACACACCAGGGCAGCCTCCTTCCAGAACCCTCCTCGGAAATCACAGAAGGAAACAAAAGCTTATGGGTCCTGACTTCTTTCTCTGGCGTGGGGAGGGGGGGGCACTAGGGGTATCTCTTCAAGCAGCCACTCCATTTCTGGGTGCCTCCAATTTCACCCCAAGAAGGGAAAGCCTGAAGTCACAGAGAAAAGGACCCACCTTCCACCAGCCTGCAAGTCTCCGAAAGCAGAAGCTACCGAGGGCACTTTTGAGGGCGTCATTCTCCTTCTGTGCAGGGGAAATAACTTCCCAGGGGAGAGGGTGAAGGCCGGGGTGGCCCATGCAGTTGAGGTGCTGTGAGTCATTCTCCTGATGGAGGCCAAGCCCCCTCCAGACCCTGGCACCCCGGTGCTGGTGAGGGGTTCAGGCTCCCAGGCCCTACTCTGAGGGTCCCAGCTTTTTGCCCAGAAGCAGGTCCCTCTGGCCAAATGGGTAGGTTTGGGGCTGGGGAGAGGTACCTAAGTCTTTCCCATGGGAACACATTCTTTTTAAAACATTTTTATGTTAAAAAAAAAAAGTTGCTTATTATTTTGATGGCCAGAAGAAAACCGATCTAGCATGTCTGACCCGTGATTTCACAGACAGGCTAAAGAAAATATAAATTGTCATAGAATCTATTTAAATAAAAACAGCAAGAAAACAACCCAGCAGGTGGCATAGAGAGGTGGGAGCTAAATGGAGTCCAGGTGTTACCTGAGTTCAGTCTGGAACCCCGGGAGAAGTGGACGGTGACAGCGAAACTCGCGGGGGACACGGGTGCAGCTCCTCTCTCCATGGCTTTTCCAGGGCCTGAGGCAACACTCCACCCTTCCAAGCAGCCTCTCAGACCCTTGCCTGGACCCCTGTGTTGCCCTCGACCGGGAGGGGTGGGGGGCAGGGCCATCAGCGTGTAACGTGATCAACTGTGGGCTGAGCCATGTAAGGCTGGCAACAATGGCCTGAGCCTCTGAAGATGGGCAATCTTTCCCCTCCGCACTGGCCTCCTTATCTCAGCAGAGGGGCCTCTCAGCACCACTGGCTCCTCAGTGCCTACCTACCTTGCCCCCTGCACACAGGAGCTAGGGTAAAGGAGGGAGGTCCCAGCCCAGAAACCATCTCTGAGCCAGGCTCAGTGAGAGAAGGCTGATGTGCAGAAGAGGGAAGGCTGGCAGGAAGCTGAGGGGAGGCTGGGGGAGTGTGAGGTGAAGCTGGAACGAGACTTGGAGGAGGGTGACGGTGGCTGGGGTTTTGGGGGAGGTTAAGGTAGCTCTCTGAGTCAAAACTGATAAGCTCTGTTATTCCCTGACAGGGTGCTGGGCCTTACCAAGCTGTGCTCTGATTAATCTCTGTTACCCCAGGACCCCTGGGCCAAGCAAGGAGGTCTGGGAATTCAAAAACATCCCACGTTAGATATAGAGCTCCCATGTGGTCCTGCAATTCCACCCCTAGGTATATACTCAAAGAACGAAAGCCAGATACTGGCACATTCATGGTGGCGGCAGCACTATTCATAAGGGCCAACAAACCAAATGTCCACGGATGAACAAAGGCATAAGCAAATGTGGGCCACACACACACACTGGAACACTAGTCAGCCTTAAAAAAGAAAGAAACCCTGACACATGCCGCAGGGTGGAGGAAACTGGAGGGCATTGTGCTAAGTGAAATAACTGTCACAAAAGGGCAAGGCTGAACATTCTACTTAGGTCAGTCAAATCCAGACAGAAAGAACGGTGGGTGCTGGGGGAGGGGAGAGAGGGACTTGTGTTTAATGGATTTACAGTGTTTCATGGCAGAGTTTTATGGGCAGAATGAAAAGGTTTTGGGTACAGATGGTGGTGATGGTTGCATAAGGCTGGCAATGTGCTTAATGCCACTGAACTGTACTCTTAACATGGTTAAAATAGATTGTGATACGCAGTTCACCAGAGTGGAGGGGCAAATCATATCGTCTCCTTCCTTCTCCCCATCTCTTGCTTTCTCTCCTGTCTCTCCGCTATACTGTCTCCATGTCTGTCTTATATCTGCTGTCTGTCTCTGCAACGCTCGCTCTGGGGATATCATGAAGCTGCCCACGTGGGGAGGGGTGGCCCTCCTTCCGCAATGGTCCGGTGAGCAGCCACCTTGGAAGGAAACCCGACAGCTCCAGCCACAGGTCCAGAAGACAGCGCCAGCTGTGTCCACGCTGCACTTCAGCCACAGCAGGGCTGGTCCTGGTGTCCCGTCTCAAGCTGCCAGGTCCCAGGCTCAAGTGGGCCCTGTGCTTCTACTGTCATCTTGAAATTCTTAACTTTTGAACAAAGGGCCCCCACATTTTGCACTGATGCCACAAATTATGTGGCAGCCCTAACCATTCAGCTAAACTACTCCTGAGCCCACAGAGACTTTGAGTAAAAGCCATGCTTTTAGTTGAGTTAGAGTAATCTGTTACGCTGCACAGAAAACTAACATATGAAATGGTCTCAGCCTGGAGGCAACTACAGCCCATCTCACAAGCCAGGCGATGGTGTCAGAGCTAGTCTGCAGCTGCTATGGCCTGTGAGGAGGAGTGCTGAGCCCTGACCAGGTCTTCACACTCTGAACCTCATAGCTCATCTCAGAAAAGAGGGAACTTTACAGTGGACATGGTGCTCTCTGATGCACTGTCCCCACTCCTCCTGCGTGGCCCCTTACGGGAGGTAGAAACATCTTCACTTTACAGATGGCGAAACTGAGACTCCTTCCTCCCCCATGTTCACAGAATGGGGGAGCTGCTTCCCAGTAAGCCAGGACCAGAAAGGGAGCCCCTTCCCAGGGCTCCTGCCTGCAAAGCACATGGTCCTGCTTCCTCCCTGGGGTGGGGGCAAGGAGGACAGAGAGCAGGTGGGGCAGGGCAAGCCATGGAAGGCTGAGAACAAGGCTTGCAGGTGCAGGCGCTGCCCTCATCACCTCCAGGAGTCTTAACAGCTGGTCACGACTCAAAGAGTCCCCCCTGAGTCTACAGAGAATGTTCCACCTGAGGCCCAGAGTCTCAGACCTGCCCCCATACTCTGCAGTGAAGCCAATGTAGGGACTTCAGGAACAGCTCGGGACTGACCCAAAACCAGGAGAAGCTGTTCTAGGCATCCAGTCAGGACAAGGAGACACACTGCTGAGGGACTGTCCACATAACAACAGCCCAAAAGACAATGGAGTCCTCTCCCATGTGTAAGGGATTCCAGAATGGGGATGCTAAGTGGATGCAGGTGTAGAGACTGGGGAGAGACAGGGTGTGGGTAGAGCCGACCAGGGTGTGGTGTCTTTCAGGGTTGCAGGGTTCAGGGACAAGGGGCCCAGATGCACAGAGGGGCAATAGCCCCATACAGTGGTCTGGCCAGAGCCTGCTATTGCTGGAGTATCCCATAGTCAGGAAAGAATTGGCTAGGGTCCCTGTGGACACCCACATCAGGGTCAGTTGGCATGCTTCTAAGATTCAGATTCTTGAGTCTACTCTAGGCCTCTGAGTCAGCTTTCTGGGGGCAAGTCAGTAATCTACATGCCAGTTATTACAAGAGGCTGCCTTGAGAGTCTGCAGAAACAAAGGCGTAGGCTCAGGCCTAGGGCTGGAGTGGCCTGTGGCCTGTATCAAGGTACCCACCTAGGGAATGAGCAATCTGCCTTCCCCTGAGCCTGCCCAAGTGAGCTGCACAGCTGAAGGAGACCCAGCACTTTGGAGTGGCCAAAACCAGAGAGGCAGGGAAGGAACAGGGGCAGACAGAGGCCAGCGGGCCCCCGGAGACCCATGCCAACTTTGGGGGTCAGCATGGCCTGGTGGCTATGAAGTTCCTACAACTGTATCGCCCAACGTGGATCAACAGGGACAGCAGACTCAGTCCTGAGGTCAAGGTCTGGGTGCCCAGAGCTCTATGCACCCCCAGGGAGCACCCAAGAAAGTCAGGATCTCTCATCCTGGCCATAGTCAGAGGGGCCCTAGGTTGGCTGCGGACGTCAGACCTGAGGCCAAGACTGTCACTGAATGGTCTGGCTGGTCTTTGTTTTCCAAATATCTCTCTTTGTAATGGGACTGTCTGTGTCCCCTTGTGCTGTCACCAGAATCGTGGCCCAGGGTTAAGGAGTGGAAGGCAGGGACCTGTCCCAGAGCCCCATGGGGCTACCCAGATCCAGGAATCCCTCCATGTCCCGGTGACCTGAGAGTGGGTTATGCCAATGGAGAGGGGAAAGGACGCCTCTCAGGGTCTCTCTGGAAGTCTGATCCTCAGCAGGGAAAGGCTCCTTGCTCTATAGGAAACAGGGCACCAGGGTCCCTCCCCTCAGTCCCCCTCAGACGGCTGCTCACCGATGTTGGAGTGCTTCAGAAGGCGGCAGATTCGAGCCTCTCTCTCCAACTTTTGGTGATCTGGGGACAGAAAAGGACACAGCATCACCTTGGGCCCCAGCAGCATGTGACCCTCTCCAGCATGTGAAGCAAAATTACTGCAGCGCCCAGTAATTGCTGGCTGGAGTGACCCCAACCAGAGAAGCCCTGGGCAGAGGGCTGTGCGGCCGCATCCTGCAGTGTCCACTCACACTGACCCCCCTCAAAAGGGACACGAGAGTTCTGCCAGCACCCTTCCCCAGGCCCCCGGGCTCCCAGCATTGCTGGGGAGCAGGCAGAAGCTGCCTGAGAAGCCCACAAGATGTAGGAGTGGTGTCAGATCAGTGCCAGAAGTTTTCACAGGAGATTCAGGAAGAGAAAATATGCCACATATTAGCAGCACTGACAGCACTGATTTCATCCTTCACTTATTTGTCCTAATTCCATACTCTTCAGAGCTTTCTGCTGAAGCCAGATTTGTTCTTCGGAGGCGGCTGTGGGGCTGGCAGAACCACACCGTCTGCCAGGTGAGGGCGTCCAATTGACACACAGATCAGCACGGGCCTCAGCAAGAAGAGCAAATTGGTGCTGGAGCTGGGGAGACAGCCCTGGAGAGCCGGGGATGCACCCCTCAAGGCACATGCCTCCTCAAGGACTAGGCAATTTATCACCCATGGAAAAACCTCACATTTGCAATGACCAGAGAATGTAGAAGTAAACGTGGTTATAGTCACAGACCAAAATACACCCATCAACAATACACATCACCCCAATCTCCTAACAGAAGGTGAGCAAAAAAGTTCCCCCACAGAGGAAGACCCAAACTGTGCCTCATTCTTTTATAGGTCCAAACACGTGTGCGCAGTGAGCCATAGAAATGGGCAGGGGTTTCTGAGTTCAGGATGGCAGCTATCCCGGGGCAAGGCCTGCCTGGGGCAGGGGCTCGTGTTCTGCACATGCCCCTTGTGCTCTGAGAACCCACAGCAAGGACCAGGAAGGATGTGACTAGGCCAGGCAAGAGCCTCGTTCACCAGCAAGTCCTGAAAGTGTGCTCGTTGAAATCATCCTCAAGAAGCTGAAAGACCTCCTGAGACCTGCGGCCCATCCACCTGTGCTTGAGGGAAGGAGACCCAGCACACCCAAAGGTCCTTCTGCTGGTGCCTCTGCAATCGCTTTTGCTGGGGACACGCGATGGTGGCCGTCTGGGAGGATCAGGATGGTCTGGAACATTCCCGTGGCTTTCCTGAGCGGGAAAGTCATGCCCACAGATGAGAAGCTCTGTGCGAACACCTCAGGCGTCCAGCTGGCTCTCCTCCTCCCAGGATGGGCTCTCAAGTGCTGGAAATGCTCACACCTTCCTGAGATGCCCACCTGGCCCCATCTGTCATGCCAGCACCCCTCCCCCTCCACTGGGGGTGTCCAGCAGAACCACAGGGTGGGGCTGGGCCTTCAAGACAGACCTCACCTCTCCCTCTGTCCTTCACCTCCGGACCCAACACAGCAGCGCTGGTGGGGAGAAGGTTTCCAAAGACGACAGGCAACGGTGTTTGAGGTGTTTGCCTTGTTGTTGTTATCAAATTGTATTGATTTGCCAATCCTTTACGTAACCTAAGCAGCGGTACTCGGTCCGCATGGTAGCTGACACTGGAAGTGGCCCAAGCATCACCGGCAGGAGAGAGAAACCCAACACCATCACGACAGAACACACACAGCGTGGGCTCCACTTTCCCATCTGCATGAAGCGCCAAAACAGGCATCCGTGAACATTTCAGGGGTCTGGAATGCACAGGCCCAACTCCAGAGGAAGGCAGAGGAGTGAGGGTTCTCGGAATCTGCGCCCTCACAGGGGTTGGGGCAGGGGTAAATGCAGGCTTCACCGGTTGTTGGAACCTTCCACAGTATTCTTTTTTCTTTTTTTTACTTATGATTTTGAATATTTTCAAATCTCAAAGAAAAATGGCAAGAACAGGACAAAGTATGCCTTGACAACATATTTGCTTCATTTCTCTGTCCTGCCCATGCATACACTTACATTTTCTACAGCACTCTCTGAAGCCCCATGCTCCATGTCCCTTTACCAGTGATGCCTTAGTGTATTTTTGTTGTTGTTGTTGTTAAGTATTTTCTTAAGATTTCTTTATTTATTTATGCATCCAGAATTGGATACAGGCCAGAGGTGCAGGGGCGGTGAGAGGATTCACCAGAGACAGAGTGGGGAGCAGGACAGGCAGACTGATGAAGCACACTGCTGAGGGGAGCAGCGGGCAGACAGGAGAGGTCTGCTGCGCCATGCGGATCACCTCATGGGCTGGGATGGAACCAAGCTGAAGCGGCTGCAGCCAGCTGCTCAGTGCTGCGCTTTAACCCGTTACTGCCACCAGGGAGGGCCCCTTGGTGTATTTCTTAAGAACAAGGACACTGTCTTACATAATCTCAGTGCAGTATCCCATGCAGTAAACTGAACACAGATACAATGTATGAATCTAACCTACAGTCCATATTCCAAACTGGCCGGCTGTCCCAATAATTGTCTGGCAGTTGATTCTAACCCCACCCCCGCTCCTGCCCCCACCACATTTCCCCCCCGTAGACAATGGATAAGATAGTGGAAGCCAGAGCCAGAGTAAATTGCCTTTCTGGGAAAAATTGCTTAATGCAGTCATTTAAAAAAATCAGGAGAAAAATGCACATGGGAACCCACTTTTGGGAAATAGATAGCCTGAGTGGCCCTATTTTATCACAAAAACCTATCACCGAGGGCAGAGTCCATCTGACACATCAACCTACAGCTGAGCATGTTTGGGGAGATAAATTACTGGTGTGGGGCCAAGAAGGGGCCCTGGCTGCTCAGCCCAGGCACTGGTGTCCACTCCCCGGAGGGAGGAAACCGGCCCTCCTGCCATCCCTCTCTGGGGTCAGGCCCGCAGGAGCACCCCGCTAGTCTGTGTGCCAGCGCAGACCCCACTCAAGCTGGCCACGGCCCACATGCGCACTCCATCGGATGGAGACAGCCCTCCAGTCTCGGTGGCAGAATCCCAGCTCCTTTTATTTCAGCCCCTATATTCCCCCCGACACTGACGACAATCCTGTGTTACTTGTACAATTAGGCAAAATGTTGTTTTAAAAAAGAGTGCCCCTGGGTCCTCTCTGGTGGCACAACAGGTTAAAGCGCAGCACTACAAAGCTAGCGGAAGCTGCTTCAGCACAAGTTCGATCCCCACCCTGGAGGTGACCCCCATGACGCGGCAGACCTCTCCTGGCCCGCCCGCTGCTCCCCTCAGCAGGGTCCTTCATCAGTCAGCCTGTTCTGCTCCCCGCTCTGCCTCTGGTGAATCCTCTCACCACCCCTCCTCCTCTGGCCTGTACCCCAGTTCTATATGCATAAGTAAATACATCTTTTAAAAAAAAGTAAGAGTGACCCTGTCCCTGGTGAGATATGATGAAGGCATTCCATAGAACCTGCTATGGTGACATTTGCCCTGAAATTAAAAATCTAAGCCGCTATTATGTGACCTCACAAGGGAGTGAGAAGCTGGAGGAAGGGGTGGAGAATGAGGCTACCGCCTGGCCCAGAGCCCATCTCCAGACAGGCTGTGGCCACGGCAGCTTCCTAACTCTGCTGACATCCTGATTTTCTTTCTAGAAAGTCTGGGAAGTTATTTCTGAACTTAAAAATTAACATCGTAAATCCCACCACAGACAAGGTTAAGTAAGTTCAATTTAAACTCGTCCAGTTCACAAGCACTGACTTACATCGTAAGCTAGAGCTCGGGGAGACTCCGCTACCCCCACACTGTTCCCTAGGAGGCAGCAGGATGTGGGATGGGCCTGGAGCCCCTCGGGGCTGCCCCATCTGCTCACCCCTGCTGGTTAGACTCTCCTCCAAGGCTCTGCTCTGGGGTTGGGGGGTGCTGTGACTCAGCAGACCATGGCAGTCACTCCTGAGCAGGCCTGTGGAGAGAATTCCACACACTGCCCACCCTACCTATCAGCATCCCAGAGATGCCACCACAGAACCCACCTCCTGAGGGAGATTCCAAGAAGCTTCCTGAGCAAACAGACCCCAGCCATGCCCACTACAGTGATGTCCGGGCTGTGCAGGCAGGGGGTTACCCCAGGAAGGCCCAACAATCATGGGGCCTGCAAGGGCCAAGTGACCAGGCAGCCTTGAGCCCAGTCTTAAAAGAGGCATGAAAGGGCACTCACTGAATGTCCCAGGATGCCCTGAGTTGCCAGGAGGCCCAGATACCTGCCTTTCAGGGTCCTGCTGCCATGGCTGTGTTGGTGAGCATTTTGCTGTGGAGTGTTGGTAAGTGCTACAGAGCAAACACCTGTGCGGTCTATGAAACTAAGGACAAGTGGGCCCAGCGATCTGCCCCGCCACATGTCCCCAGATGCTCCTGGGCCCCCTCTCCCCAGACCATCTGTGCCAGACCTGCCTCGCACCCCCACGTATGTGCTGACTGGAGGACTGCACACATGGCATCCAGTTTCCCATGGCGGGGTCTGGGGTGACCTGAGAAACAGGACATGGATGGAAGCTGGGGGTCAGGAAACGAGGGCACAGGTCAAGCTTCCCCTCACCTCCCAGAGCCCCACCCCTCTGATGGGAGGTCCCTCTGCCCTTCTCCACTCACCACTGGAGGCAGCACTAACGTGGTACTGGTGACAAGAGACAGGGCAACAGGGCCACGAGCCAGCGGACAGCAGGGTCCCCCATGGGAGACTCACGGGCACGTGAGTGGGATCTGGGAAGAATCTGCCTTTCAGGGAGGAAGACTTGAGTCTCACACCCCCTCTGAGGTGAAGCACAGAAGGGAACCTGTGAGACCAGTCATCTCTCCAGTGTCCTGTGTCTTACAGATCCACGCTCTGCATGCAGACGAGGCTTAGTGTGGGTGGGCACATATGGAAACCAAGGTCACTGACTTGTTCAGTCTAGAGGCAGCCACACAAACACACACACACACACACCCTGTTTTTTGAGGGGGCCCACTCAGAGACTTGCTGGCAAAGGCATAAAACACAGCTATTTATTTCTC